CCGTATGCCAGCTGCCGCCTCAAAGCCCTTGTGTGGACCTGGGACCACTTGGAGTGAACAGTGTAGCAATACATAAATAACGCCAAGGAGTTTATTGCATGTAACATCATTCTCTTCCATACATCTCATACGGGAATATTTATTCAGTAGCGTGTTTATGGTGATGGTATCAACAGATACTAAAACTATATCCGGGAGGATTAAGAGTACCTGGTTATGGGGGCAAGTTGTCCAGAAGAAGAAGTGTCTTCAAAAAAAGAAACCCTGAATTCATCCTTGCAGAAATAGCAACTCACATGTTGACTGCTGTTTGTTTTAAAGGCTCTGCTCCTGGAGTCTTGTGATGATACATCAATGTCCCTGATCATTTGAACAAAAAATTTCTTGTTTCATCGTTGGGTTTCATAGTTCATGACAAATATGTCCTAACTGTATCCTAAAAAAAGTAGGGGTGAAGGGAAAGCAACATTTATTTTTAATTCCACGTATTTTCAGCTTTTATAATTATTTTGCATGGCCTCATTAATGAATATTGAACGCTTGGGATTAGGATTACTGTGTTTGACGCTCTAGATGTTGCGCTCATAGATCCACCTTTCCTGTCAAGCTACTCCAAAACTAAAATCTTGGTTTCCTGCTTGGCAAGCAAATTCAAAAATTAAAAGCAAGAAGAGACTTCCTTCCTTTCCCCTTCAGTATTTTTCTACCTTATTGACACTGCGTTTAACAAACAACATTAAATAACCTTCAAGACTGTATCAGCTACCAGGTCTTAGTAATGAGCGGAAAATCAGGCAAGCCAGACCAAGACATGACTTGTTGGGAATCAAAACAAAATTGGAAGTCTTATCAAAAAACATCCACATCTCTGTTTTCTCTCTCGGCTGCTGGGTGTTGCATTCAGTCCATTGATTAATGTGTCACTGCTTAACACAGGCTGCTAGGCTGTGACACTTGCAGCAAGGCAGCTTGCTCTCTTTGTGCAGCCCTGAGGCTTGATTTGCTGCCTGTACGCGCTGGGGCTGCTCCGACCAGAGGAGGCGGCGGGGAGGTGGACGGAGCAGGCTGGCGAGCAGTGCTTTGCCACCTCCTCCGTGCTGGCTCCAGCTAGCTACAAACGTTTGAGGTAACCTTGGATCTCTGGCACTGTTGACTCTGCTTATCAGCAACCTCTTAGGTAATAAGGATGTGCAGCAATAGCTGTGTTTTCCTACAGGGTAAAAGAACTGGTGCTGTTCTCCACCCAGAACAGTAATGGGATGGCTTTGTCCTAAAGTGAAACCAAACTCTGGAACAACTTCGGTCTCATCTGACCTGGGGCAAATGGTTCGTGTCCATTTGCTGCCCCACAGCAGCATTTTCCAGCCCCTGCTAATCTTCCTTCCTCCTTCCACCATGGTGACTGACCGAGATCAGCAGGTTCCCAAGTAGATACTTCGTTTTGACGTTAACTTCCATGAGCCTCACAGAGACATCTCATGCTGTCACGGCTCAGTGGTAATAATTCAATGCACAGTGAAGAAAAGGGTAAATCTACGAATGGGCTGCCAGCCATTTCCTTTTGTCAGTGTACAAAATTCTTCAAAGGTAGTGATATCTCTAATTAATAAATAGCAAGATGCAACAAGTCTGCAATAATGTACAGCATATTATCATGTCTCAAGTGACATGAGAAGCATGAAGTGAGATACCTGTGGCCTTTCTGACACAGGAAAAATACTAGTCAACGTAGCTGAATGCAGGTTTTTGCAAGAGTCCAAGGAATAGTTGGTAGATGGATGTTGGAAATAAGCATTTTTCATAATAATCCCATGTTTGAAACATCCTGACCTTAGAAATACAGTATAAAATTAGTTCCAGGAGAAGAAACCTAGCAAAGGTAACGGATGCTTGTTTCCTTTATCAGAATCCCTCAATTATGAAAATGTGACAAGTAGATAATACCGCTAGGTTGAGCTGAATTAACATATGTTTAAAATGAATGAAAAATATGTCCCTTTCCCAGTTAGAAAAAAATCACACAGTATAGGTACTCAAAAAATGAAATACATCTCTGGCTTTGAAATGATTGTTGTCTTTCTACAGCAGCTTCTTGAAAATGTCATGTGAGATTAGATCTGTGCGCTGTTGTGTTGGTAAGTGTACGAACCCCCTGCAAAGGGCGGTCTTTGTTCCAAGAGCTTACAGTCTCAGGCAAGGTTTCAAAGACGACTGCTCATTTGTGATACCTTTTAAAAAGATCTTACTTTCAGAAAGCGCTGGGTACGTACTGTTAGAAAACCGGGGTCCTTAGAGGAGTCTCCAGCTGGGCATCAAAAATGATCTAGGTAACAAGGAAGAATAAGTGCTTCTAAAACCTTGGCCTCAAAAGACATAGTGAGAAGAGAAGAAATGGGCTAGATCACCACTAAATCCTCTTTGCTTGCTCTAAATGCAGAGCTTAAGAGAATTACGACTTCTCCCTTGGTCAGTGTCACCAGTTGTGTCCAGACTGGCTCTGCTAGGTGTCCTGCATGGCTCGAAGCAGTTGCGCTCCCTCTGCAGTGTGGATGGAGCTCAGGTTGGGACCAGTCCCCATTTCTCCTTGTTCACATGTTTCTGTCTGAAGGGCTGGCTGGCTCATTTCAAACTTACGCATGAGTACAAGCCAACGGCTCAGACAATGTGGATGATTGTGGAAATTCAGCATGAGTGCAATCCTGAGGCCTGACCTGATATAATTAGCCAGTTTACCCATTTTATTTTAGTCCTGCAACTCTGTGGCTAGGCAAGGTATTTTCCATTATATGGCAGAGCTTTTCAAATTTTCTCTTCTTTGCGGCAGACGAGCTATTTAACCTCAAAAAAAGTCCTGTTTCTCCTTTGTGAGACAGGCTTGTCTCTATTGATGCTACACAGATGGGAGATATCCTCCAGTTCACCTGGAATCAAACACTTGTGAGGTGAGGTACCAGTTTGCCTTTCTCCAAGTTTAAAACCTCCCCCAGATTTCCCCTTTATCTCCATACCTGCTTAATGTCACCATTGCTTTTTTTTCTGTCCTGGGGGATGCGGTCAGTAATCTGTCTAGACCAGCTGAAGGCTCAAAACGTTCCCGTCCATTCTTCCATGGAATAAACAGTTGCTGGGTCACAAACGTGCATCTTTCTCAGGCCACTACTGACGAGGGTATCGCATGTAGTAGATGACGGTAGGTGGTGGTGGGATCATGGCACTAGAGAACCTTGAGAATAAAAGCAAGGCAGCTGAAAAAACAGAAATCAAAAGTAGCACTGTAATCAGGCGAATATGCCCACATAAGGAAGGAAATAGCTAAGGAGACTGTTTTTTATTGTTCGTCTATTTCATAGGCCATATTTAGACCGAGGGGTAAAGTGCTCATGGCAGGGTGTGGGATTTTTTTAAAATCTTATTCAGCATTCTTCCAGCACCTGCTGGCTTAACATCCCATCCTTTCCCTGCTCGATCAGACCTTCATGTCCATTTCTGCAAGGGTTTGGGGTTGGGAGAGGCAAATATGGGCAAACTGGCAGCTTGGCAGAGCCAGTCAGCCTGCACCCCACAGAGAAGAGCCCACCAGGCATGATTTTGAAGGGGTGAGAAGCAGAAATCCACTGTCAGCCTGAGTTTCAGCTGACATGAATGCTGCCTTGGCAGCATCAGTATCCCATTAGCTTCACAATTTGGAATCTGGCCCAAAAAACCCAGTGTTCCAGCTCTTCCCACACATACAGACATGTACATTTGTGCAAGAAGCAGGACATCAGCCGGAAAGGGTGCAAAGGCCACCCCGATGAGTCCCATCCCAGCACTGCCCTGGTCAGAGGTCATCGGTAAAACTGGTGATGGGTGAGGGCTCTGTGAGAAACAAAGCTGCGTCCAAACACGTTGAAATAACATGGTGAACTTGGCTCTGCATGGCTCCTTGGCTCCAGAGGCTAGCGTAAGCCTGTGATGGGTTTACATGCATTTTCGTGGCTACATACTGAATAAACGACTGAATGTGCTTCAGTGTGAGCAGTCCTGCACGGGCACTCATCTCCTGTTCAGAAAGGCAAAAGGCAGAACAGGGAACACAAAACCCCATCAGAAAATGTGCAATTATAACATAATTTAGGTTGGGAGGGACCTCTGGAGATCATTCCACTCAACCATGCTCAAAGCAGGGCCAAGTTAGGTTGTTCAGGCCTTGTCTGGTTGAGTTGTGGATATCTCCGTAGGTGGAGATCACACAGCCTGGTCAGGTAACTTGTTCCAAAATTTGACCACCCTCACTAGGAAGAATTTTCTTCCTTGTATCTAACTGGAATCTGTTTTGTTGCATCTTGTGTCCATTACCTCTCGTCCTTTTGCTGTGCATCTCAAAGAAGAGTTAGGGTGGAGGGGAGGAGAAGGTACAAGAAACCTCCACATATTCCTCCTTTATGGTGTGATCACCTTACAGCTTTGCAAGGGCTTTCAGGCAAGGAATAGCAGCCACCAAAATTGAGTGTGCCTTACTGCTGGGGAAGGAAGTGGGCGAGCTGTTTTCACATCTCCTGTGCAGCAATGGCCAACTCTTGCCATCTTCGCCAGCAGAAACGGTGAGGAAATGTCAGCCCCTACTTTGGCATTTGGCTATCAAGCCTTCAGTAGTTAATGCAAGCCCAGCCAAACCGAAGAGCCTGCTCTCTGGGACTCAGACTAGAGGAAGAGTAAGCAGTGCTTTCACATGAGGCAATAAAATTCAAGTAGGCTTTGTTAAATCATACAAATGATTGCTGGTCTGTGCTTTATATTTATCTAAGGAATTGATTAAGCACTGAGTTTTTTGGTTGATGACTGATTAAAAAAGTACGAGGATCACAATATATATTCTAGGAGTAGTTTGTCTTTACAGCAGAAGTACATTCACTCAGCTCTAACCTGACTTGTTTAATTTTAGTTGAAATACACGGTAATTCCTTTGCTCTGTTCTATACTCACTGCCTGGTTTTGGTTTTCTGTTTTGCTTCTTACAGCCCCAGCAGAGAGCTCTCCATAAACATTTCCAGCCTCTAAAGCTGCTGTCCTGCCACTTGATATGAAAGCGAACTTTCCTTCATGAAAAAAACCCATAATAAATGGCACTGCCAGAAGGTGACCATGGAGGATTGAAGACAAACTTGAAGTAAAATCAGCCCGCTGAAGATGATGTGTTCTGGGAAGACCTGGTTTGCTGTGGAGTAAAATTGTGGTGCATAATACCCAGTGCTAATTTGTTGAAAATGGTCATTGACAGACCTTTAGCTGGAAAATTTCTTCCAGTTTTCATCACTGTGCATAACTTTTGAGTTCCCTTTAGGGGACTGTCTATGCCCTTCACTAGAAGTCCTGTTTTAGCATGGCAACTACTGGATTCTTTTATTATGTATGCAGATGGCATGATGTTTTAGGAAAAACTTACAGCAATTCTCCGATCTCAGTGGATATGTTCACAATATTACACCCCGGTAGGAATGTAAACGTCTTGTATATGTTAGTTTTGCAGTCTAATGGTATTCTGTTAAACAATATCAGCACTTCATATGTGCTTTCTGCACAGAACTAGCACAGTCCATATATATATATAATGGTCTTTTTTTAAAATACTGAGGATACGTTTCAGTGTTTGTGCTGAGACTGCATCCAAACTGAAGTCCACTACTAGCATACCTTCACCAATTCACAGTAGATTGTGTAGATAGATTTGCACGTGGCAGAGGTGTGACTTCTTTTACGAAGACTTAGATAACAGCTGTCACAGAGGTAGCCAAGAACAGGGTAGGTTGAATGAGCTGTAGGACACTGTGTCTGCTCTCCCTCTCATCCACCAAATATCACAGGTTCTCGTTTCTAGTGTACCAATGTGTTTTCTTACTCGGCAAGGGAGAGGCAAGGGAGAGAGCCTTTCTCAGAGATCTGTGTGACCCTGGGTTTGGTCTACGACAAAACCAGAATAAACTGGAAGAATTCAGGTTCTTTATGCTGGCCACCATTATATTTTGGGCAGGGCTGGGGAATTGTAGTCCAAACCAAACTCTCTGAACAAGGTAAAGTGTAAGACTACACTTCTAAGGAGCAAGACACTCCCTTTGGAGAGGGCAGACTTCATTAACTTTTTCCACTTTCTATCCAAAACACTGTTTCGGTAGGAACTGGGAATAAGCAAATGGTTCCAATAAGCCTTTCAATGTACTGTAGCAGGCTCAAGACTGTTGCATTCAATCTGAGTGTTGTTTTTCGTTCAGTCTGAATGGCTGGCCTCATCTCTGGCTGTATCACAGCTGGCTGTGGTACTGTTTCTTCCATGGGGACTCAGTGGAATTAGTGTCTGTCCCTCACATCGGGACCTTCTTGACACACTGTATAATGAACTGATGCCATCAACATACTGAGGGGACTTACCTATTTGTTCCTTCTTTCTTTAATATCAAGGTAGCTTTTCGTGTATTTAAAGACCATCACTCTCTCCAGTCTGATAGACAGGTACTACAGAGTCACTGTTAGCATATATGCCAAACTGTGGGTGAGACACCATACTGGTGTGAAGATGCAGCGATGGAGAGAAGGTGCAGCTACATCAAGTCAAAGGGACCTTTTTAGAGGAAGCTCCTGTGTTATAGTTCTTAAAAACTATTGTACAGTTCATTGCTAGAGAATGGAAGGTCAACCACTGAGGGTGCCTGCACAACCAACAGATAAATATCGCTAGGGCTTAATTTTTTTCAGATGGGTATGGGCTTAGGTTTCAGCTCTCCACCCATCTCAGATTCAGCATGTTGGATATTTCTATAGTATTCATTCCAAAAGCAAATTATTTTTATTGACGACCAAGATTTTCAGAAGTCACTGGTGATTTCTAACCGTTTGGGTCTTTCCATGGGTTTTCAAATGGAGCTCCCAAGAATTACAAAGCAGTAAGCTTCTACATTCTCTTTCTGAAAATCCTGGTCCCTAATTTGAAATTAATTGGTGTAAAAAGTCTCCTTAAGACATAAGAATCTTTGCCAACAGCAACATTTGCACTTTTTAGAGTTTTTCACAGGGTTGCAGGTTGGAATCTGATACCAAGAGACCTGGCCATGTGCGTGGCACAGGTCCACTGTAAGCTTCAGCAAATTTTACAGCTCTTTCTGCTACAGGTTTTAAAAATGCGCTCTGGCAACTGACATCAATGTCATGTTGGTACAGCAATTAAAAAAACCCACTTTGATATAAGTTATTTTAAAAAGAAGGAGAATGCTATACTTCTGCAGTAGGAATTCTCTTATTTTACTACCCAGTGAAAAAATCCGGAATAATTTGAATGGTAAAACAAGAGTTTATCAGAGAGTGTTATCTTAAAAGGGCGTACGAGAAGAAGTTGAGTTAGGCAGAGAGCCACTAGAAGCATTTTTTGTATCAATGTTAGTTTTGAACATTTTCCAGTATATGGGCATGAATTTAGATGTGTGCATTTCTCCTGTTAAAACAGTTTGTTTTAAAAGCTTCCCTGGATTTTAGCTACGGTGACCTAGAAAAGCAGTGTTATAGGCCCTGAGAAATGTGAAAATCAAGTCCAGACCCTTGTGTAGCCAGACTCGGTGAGAAGTCTGCTGTAGGTGCCTATCGGACAAATCTCCTTTGAAGCTGGTGTAGGTCTCCATCCTACAGCCAGCCTGTGCATGTGGATAACTCCAAGCATAGTTCCCCTGAGCCCTGTGACACTTCTCACGTGTGTAACTGTCTGCAGGAGCCATAAGGAAATAACTGTACTTTTTGGCTTGTGTTTAACTATTCATCGTGTTTGGATTTTTTAATCACTGTTATTCTCCCAAAGTAGGCCATGCTTCCTCAGGGATATTTATGAAATTGTTCTACATCTACCGAACAACTATCTGGATCCCAGCATATTCTTCTGAAAACTTTTTAATATAAATAAACATGTGGGAGAGATTTTTGTTATTATGAATGGGGGCAGGTACTGTATTCTCGGAAAGGCTATTGAGTGCAGACAATCAAGTCTATTGCATTTTTTATGCCGAACACCTTATTAATAGCAGACACATCCGCTTTTGCCTGGGTCACAGGAACAGTTCAGGGGAAAGAATGCTTTATCTCTAGTCAATAAATCATTTATGTCGAGAGTGCCAAAGACCAAGTCAACATGAAAGGGAGCGAATAAGTTATTCCGGCAAAGGAAGTGAATTTAAATACGCTCAGAGCCATTAGTTCGGTGCAAAAGAGTAGGAGACTAATGCTATTTTCATAAAACAACCGTTATCAGCCTTGTGGAGATAGATAAATTCGCAAAGGCCAGTGCTGCCGTTATATTGATCACTAGTTATTATCTCTAATTATCTACCAGTACTGTGATCAGGACACTGTTCTCCCTGTGCAGACCTGCAGCCTTCCTCCAATGCCCGGTGCCTCTCCCTGCTGCCGTGCTCACCTGGTTCCTTTGTGTCAAGAAAGGTTGCAGCATCAGACCCCGCTAAGAAATGCTGACAGGGCCTCAGCCATCCCAGCTGCTTCAAACCATGGGAAGACCTGCGCTAGAAACCTGAAGGAATTGCTCACATCCGAAAACACACTGCAGCTGAAAGCATCCTTTGTGCTGTTTTGTTCCTTGTTTTTTAAATCTGCGTGGCTTTCTGTGCCTGAACACCCACCATTTATTCTGCTGAGGGAATTGCAGCCTTCCAGGAGGGGAGTTTGAAAAAGCTCTGCGAGCTCTTTGGTTTTGCCCACCCAGCTGCATGGCGATGCTCTACCGGTGGGTTCATCCCTCCCTGTCTGTTCCTTAGGGTAAGTAAGTGTTGTCACTCAACAGCAGCTGCAGCGTCGTTGAGGAAATCAAACCATTAAAAATGACAAAATTCTGGTTTTGTTTTGCCCTGTATTTTCAGAAGACCCCAGGCCAGACCCCCGGCAGACTTACATTGGCGCTACTCCATCAGAGTCTCCAGAGATGTGTTGATTAGTGCCAGCCATGGAGCCAGGCCTGGGGTGGTTTTTTTGTCATCACTAAAACTAACCTCCTTCCACCCGCCACAAAGCCACAGGATCTCAGTTATTCAAAATTGTCTCAGGCAGGCAAAGTAAAATCCTGCATCTTTCACGTGGGTCCCCTTTTAACAATTAACATCTCTGCCATCAGAGTCTCCTTGAATGGCCCCGCTGCAGGACTGTGCTGCAATTGACCCTGGTATATATAGACTGTGGTCAATAAGATTTTAATGTAAATAGAAAAGGTCCTCTGGTATAATTAAAATTGATGGGTGAGGGGGAAAGTACTACCAGCATTACCTGCAACCTCCTATAGTAAAATTCCGGAGAGTTATCTGGAGTGCAAAAAAACCCCACCAACATAACGTATGGGTGATTAGGCAGGCTCATGAGGATAAATCGGCAAGTAAGAAAAGTAGATGTTTGATGAGGGAAGCCAAAAAATGTATGTGAAGTCAGTGGCCAATAGGTTAGGGCTGGTAGACCAAAGGCTTTACATATATCCTGACAAATACCATTGTAGCAAAGCTAAGTCTGATGTTAGACAGGCACAGCACAGTGATTACTCACAGTACATGCAAAAACCAACAAATATTCTTGGTTTTTATTTGAAAGCAGTAGAAGGAGGGAGTCAGCTTGCACGTTAAAATGTAATTCCTCCTACTCCATCAGTAATTATGGGTAATATTAAGCAGCGACTATCCAAACATATTTTTAAATTTGTAGAACCATTAACTGAATCCAAAAGTGAAAGAAAACTTGCCTAGGACTCCTCAGAACCGGAAAGCATAAAAGAAGCTTCAAATGACACTAAAAACCCAGTAATTCAAAAGAATGAGTGATTTGACCCAGAAAACTAGAGGCTCATTAGCTTCCTATCAGTCTTAGGCAAAACCATGGTAAGGTTGATATGGCACAGTCGTTAAAGCAATTAAAAATTGATAAAACCCTCCAAATGATTTTCATAGAAATGTATCATGCCAAATAAACTTGCTATCATTTTTTGTGATATCAAAGCCTTGTTGATAAAAGAAATTCTGCTGGCATACTATACTTAGCCTCCTATAGATCATTTGATTCTGATAAAGAACAAAATAGCACAACGCAAAATCAATATCGCCCATATTAAGTGGATTAAAACCGATTACAAGCCAGATCACAAAAAATAGCTGTAAATATTAAATTATCATCAGGGAGACTATTTCTAATGAGCTCCTCCCAAGGTATGCTCTATTTTCAATATTCCCCCCAGGGAAAGAGAAAATTACTGTTGGCAGCAGCCAGAGGTGACAAAAGCAGGGGCTCAGTAAATAATGATATGGAGCAGGTCAGTGGTAGAGAGTAACCTGGAGGACGGCAAAGTCAGAAATCCCGGAGAGATGGCGGCAAGTCCCACTTAGAGGCATGGGGAGTACGTCTGGAAGAATATAGTGACTGTGAAGGTGTGATGAATAATCTGTTCAGCGTCAGCCCCAGAGATGCTCTTGCCAGCTGGGATGTAGGACCTGGCAGTAGCGATGCTGTTCCAGTTTGTTTGGTTACTGCCCGTCTTTCAAAAAGGGTATCGACAACTTGGAAAGATGATTTTCAATAGCTCCCAGTGTCATTCAAGGGCAGGAAAACAGGTCTTATTATAGTGTCAGCCTAATGAAGCTCAAGCTATTAATTTATCAGAGGCAATTTGAAGAGGTGACTTGATCTCCGTCTGCAATCACAATCTTCTACCTGGGCAGGGAAGTGCTATCTGAAGGCAGGTAGCTCTTTTATTTAGAAGAAAAGGGAATGATGTGCTCTACTGGTTGGAAACTGATTTCAGGCTAGAAATTAAGTGCAAATGCTCGACAGGGAGGATAATTACCCATGGAGACAACTTACTTAGTTACCTGGCATGTTCTCCATCACATAAAGTCTTTAAATGTATGCAGAGTATTTTTCTAAGTCAATAAGCTCTACCTCAAACTGAGATGCAGGCTCGGTGCGGCAATTACTGGATGAGGTTATTAGGCATGTGTTATGCAAGGATTAGACTAGATCATCAGATGTAAACTTCTAAATTAAAAATATCTTGAAGTTTCCAATATTACAGGAAGGCAGGGCAACCTATATCCATTTTTTCACACAAAATGGTCTTAATTTAAACAGCTTATGTGAACAGAGCTATGCTTGCCAGCATTTGGCCTGAGTGTCAGTAGGTCTGCTTGCAGTTGCAAGGTCCTTCTGTGCGTAATTAAAGGAAGAAAACCAGATAAGAAAGGACAACACAAACCCTTGGACATATAAAGTCTGTTGTCTTTCATTAATAACAGCCTGAGACAAAATGATGCACTCAAACGACGGGGCCAAGTGGAAGTGTAGTCTGAGCAAGGAGTAACAACTGTGGGTTTGCCTTTTAATTAAGGAGGTAGCATCTTGCTGGCAAGAAACAGATTTTCTTGCCTTCAACAACTGGCAGAGAAGCTGTGGTGCTGATTGAGAATTGTATTGTATCGCTGTGCAGCGGAACACAGTACATGAATTCCTTGCTTCAAAGACAGCAAACTGTTCCCGCTATCATGACGAGCCCCATCGGAGCCGGTTAATAAAGCCCTAGAAGTGAAACGACTTCAGTGGGACTACCCAGAGTAATGAGAGCTGCTCCCAGCGGTGGCTTTTTGCAAGATTGGGCCCTATTGCCATTGGCTGGTTTGAATGTTGTACCTTAGAAATAAGCAAAGGAGCGCTCGGCGTCTGATTCAGGTTTCACAAAACCGCTGTCAATAGATGTGAGGCAAGTACCAACTGTCAGAGCCACCTTCTACCGTGCTTCATCAGGCGGTGGGGAACAGCGCAAACTACAATGTACGTTTTAAAGAGTAAACAGTTCACGCAGACCAGAGAAACTATAAAAGCAATACTTACGGCAAATTGGTATTGAATCAACATCAAGAAGCTGAAACAAGAAGGGAGCTAGCTATGGCCATAGCTAAGAAGATAAAGATCTTTGGGGATTCTTGCTCTAATCCAGTGTGAAATCCTAAGAAAATGAGTTTGGTCTAGATTTATTGTTTAAAGAACATTGGTACATGCTGGCCGCCTGTCAAATAAATTCTGCGGATCACTGGCTTGTGTGCGTGATGGCTTACAAGTGTCCTCATGCTGCTGAGACACCTTGCAGCTTTGGGGGAGAGCTGTCCTTAACAGGCACGTCTGGGGTCAGGCTGGACGGAGAAGAAGCTGAACTTGCAAATGACTATATAACGTCTGCTTCTGCCATAGAAGTAGGATTGTCAGCATTATTATAACACAGCCAGGCTTAGTCTGAGAATGAGACGAAAAGCTCCTTTCTGATTTTAATTCCAAATATATAAATTCTTCTTCAGAAAAGAAAAGTCCTCTGTAGCTGTTGTCACATCTCTAATCACGTTACTTCTATTAAGCAGTTGCCTTGAATTCATCTATTTAATGTCATAAGTCACCAAATTAAATAGCGATACACAGGGTTTTTTTAAAGCAGGGAGATCGATATTGCAGCAAAACTGCATGTAAGCAATAAGAAGCTGTGCAGAGAAAAAAAAACAAATCGCAATCTGCCCCATCAGATGCTTAGGGGACTTGGTTGGTTGGTTGGTTTTCTTTATTGAGAGCACGGTTTTATGTCTAGACAGAGGTTTTCCCTACTGAGCCAGACTTCGGTCTCAAGACTAGTCCAGATAAAGAAATGTTTGGAGTCCTCTTACCACTTCACCGGCATCCCTTGTATGCAAGAGGCTCCTTCTCTGCTTTGCTTCTGAGAAAAGCACAGAGGGACATGAGCTTCCAGCCTATGCAAAGCATCTCAGGATGAGACCCAGATCTCAGCCTGCTCCCTGAGTCCCACGCCACTGACTGGGGCGGGGAATGGGGCCACGTTGGGCTAACCCGCAAATGAAGCCCAGTGTCCTGTGCCGTGCTGAGCGCTCTCTTGAAGCCATTGCAGGAGACACATTACCTTGCAGAATCGGACCCTGCGTTTCTGGGCACCAGCTGGGGTTGCTGCTGTCTGCTGGGCTTCCCCTAAAATAGAGATGAACTGCACAGGGCAATGTGCACAGGGGAATGACCAGCATTTCCCCAAAGAGGCTGCATGCTCTGAGGAGAAGACTCCTTTGCTTTGCACTAAGCTGCTGGGGTACTTGGTGAGCATAAGAGGCATATTTTTAACTTTCTCAGAGTTATTGCAGAACCTGAAAGTGGCAGGGACATGCTTTGGGACGTGCTGGGCTTTGTTTTCAGTTTCTTGTAGGGACTGTAGCTGTATCGACCTGCCTCACAAAATCATTTCTTTTTCACAAGTGGGGGGTAAGATGGCAGTAGTGCCTGCCCGACTGCACAGCGTAAACCAGCAAAGGGGGCTCTAAATTTGGGCTCCTCTGTTTTGAGGAGCTAAATTTAAGGTTGATTGAACCTGACTTTGGGAAGAGCAGATAGCTGGCAGCTGGAATGATAGCCACACCTGAGCTGTCTCCAAAAGTTGCCCCCAGATCCGTGGCCCATGTACGGATCAGATGCTGGCGCGGCGGCGGTGGCAGCGGCAGCTGATGATGGACACGAGCTGCAGGGAGCGAGGGGGAGGCTGCAATCAAGGTCCCGGGAATCTGGTGGCCTGATGGGGGAGAGCTGGATGCAGAAGGGCTGAGTGCAAGCTCATGGCCATGCTGTATGGTCAAAACGGTCTCTTGTAGCCGGCGAGTTGTGTCTGGTCCAGCTGCCTTTGGAGTCAGTGCTGGTTTACGCTCACTAAGGCAATACTCTAAGTCAGTGATCTTTTAATGTTAACTTGGTTGAAAATCTAGGAAAATGCCAGCACTCCAATGGTTAAAAAGCGACGCACTGTTATTCCTGTGGCTGAACTTTTTTAAGACGGAGCCAAACGAGATGGCATAAGACAAAAGTGTGCCTTTTTGTTTGATGTACACTGCATTTCCCCAGGCAGCCAAGGTGTTCATCTGTACACCAGTGCTTTTCTTCCCAAAACAAAAATTATCATGCAGTCTAATTTTTAGTATACAAAGTGGCCATCACTGTTAATTCTACCCTACAGTTTTTATATTTACTCTTTAATTCCTTCTGTTTTCAAAGATCAACAAAAAATAAAACCCAGGTGGGAGGGAGGAATTCTTTTAAACTATGAAATTAGAATCAATATCAAATTTTTGGTATCTTTGGGCATGATCTCTGGAAGCTTTGGATATCTGCTTTATCATTTTGTATATTTGACAATTTTGTACTCTGCATTGTTTGACTTCATTTGTGCATGGCGATGTATTAAAACATGGAATTTTTATTATACAGTAAAAGTACTTTGTTTGATTTAAACAAGGCCAGGGCTTGATCCGTTGCATGAACAGGAGAAGAAAAAAAAATAATAGAGGTTTTTGCCGGCAACCACTCTCACTTGACACTCTGACCGGTCTCTTTCGGGGGGTTTCCAGCACCTGAAGGTGGGCAAAGCTTTTCACCCACCCGCACGTCTCCTTCCCCAGCTGGGGTACTTCGGGTCTGTGCAGCGCTTTGCTGTACGGCGGTACAGGTGCTGCGTAAATGCAGCGTGCTCATAGATGTAACAGAAGGTGTTAACCGAGCAAAGGGCTCTGTTCTGCTCGGTTTGGGTGTAAATCCAAACCGACTGCGCTGACTTGGCTCTATTTACCCCCGATTCCGTGCGGCGGGACCGCAGGCAGACAGTGCACACTGTGAGGACGGCTTTCATTGCCTTCGTTTCTCAAGACTTGTGGGGAGGCCCTTGTAAGCAGCGACGCAGCCTCTAAGGGGACCAAACCACAAAAGGAGCAGGTAACTAGGCTGTTTATGGTGCACGGCATTTCACTCCCATCCCACCCCCCCATTTATTCTCAGCATTTATGGCATGAGAGTAATTTAAAAGTCAGTAGGAAGGTAGTTCTCAGAAAAACTAATGTTGAAATTCCAGCATGATATTATGCTCTCCCATATATGTGTTTTTTTCTTTTCAGCCATAATTCTGAATGTTCTCACATTTGTAAGGTAGAGACTGATGACATGTTTTGGTCAAACAAAATACTGGGCTTAATACAAAATAATAAAATTAAATTATATAGTGTGCAGTATAACTGACAAAGTCAAGATAAATTGTCATCTATAAAAATCATAAATCCTGTTTTTTATTGTAACATCTTGTGATTGGGCTGCAATTTACTAAATTCTGTTTATATCTTTAAAAAGCTTTCTACTCCATAAACTTCGTCAGTGAGAAGAATATGTTAGCAGGGGAAGCTCTGGTTTAGTAAAATCTGTGCACGTTACATCTCGGGCTGAAGGAAATTAGAGCAATCATACAAGTAAAGGAAACAGTTTCTATGTCACGTGTCCTTTTCACCATCGGGGTCTCCACAAGGGTTACAGTGGCACCCTGTTATTACTACTCTGGGTGCTGCACGCTAGGATTATTTCCATTATAAACAATATGCCACCTAAATCAGATCTGCTTTGTAATGAAATAGCAGCTACCATGATAATGAAATACTTCTCCCTGGAGACAGAGAAAATAGCTACTGATGCTGTGGAAGAAGGACTTTCCATGTGTGTGCGTATGGGTTTTGCATTATAAATCTCACCGATGGGGTTGCAGTTCGTTACTCAGAAGTCATCAGTGGAGCAACCAGTTGTGCAACTTGGTTTTTTTGGTTCTCTTCCTTCCAGTGACAATTAGTCCTTGATGCAACTTGCATGATCTTACGTTATAACTGTGTACGTCCCGCGGGTCTGTCAGAGCTTGCCTTACCCTGAGCAGCTACCACGGGTTGCAGGCCCAGGTCGTGCCGCTTGAACCCTTGAGCTCCAATACCGTGTCCAAACATTGCGTTCCTGAACTGGGACCTTATTAGCTGAGCAGATCTGTGCTCATTTGAGCAAAGCCTTGTGATGTGAGCAAATGTCCTTAGTCTATAATGAAGCCCAGTGAATGAAGTACAACCCTAGAAAAACTAAATGATGGTCCCAATCCCATCACTGACCTGCTACACGTGAAAGAACAAGTTCCCTCACATCGTCTCTTCATGTCCCACCTTCTTATCTGTAAAACAGGAACTACATTTACCTGTCACTGTTAAACCTTGAAACTCAATGGAGAAACGGTGAGTCTTCCAAGAAGATTGTGTTGTAAGTGGGATTGATTTGAACAGACCAGGCATCTTGGTACAAAAGAAACATACTTTATTTGGGAGACAAGAAGTTGCCATCTGCAGCTTGTGCTTATCTGACGTTCCGCTCTCACTGCACCCAGGCGCTGATCCGTCAGAGTCTCAGCGCATGGCGTGACGCTTTCACGGCTGAGGCGTCATATCAGTCCGGGCTCGGTTTGTCTGAAGTTTATTCCTCTTTCGTGCACTACTTCGTCTCGTTCATGTCACTGCCTTGTCATTGCCTTCTCCTTGCTTTTCTGCATCTCGTGATTTCTTGCCTTCTACTGTTATTAACATCAAGTGGGAAATACACTGAATTACTACTACACATGAGAAACACACTTTTAAGTGAAGCAGCTTTGCTATAACTACATGGCACCAAGGCACTTAGGAAGAGATAAAGTGGAGGACAAATTGCTACAGGTTTGTTCTAGGGCAACATGGGGATTAAGCTCTTCTTCACGTCTGTGTTGGAGCAACAGGCTGAAATGGCAGCAAGAAGGATGAACACTGGACACAAGGAAAACCTTTCTAGGAACAGGGATGCTGAAGCAGTAGTGACTGCTTAAAGAGATGGCGAACAGCTTCAACAAGCATCCATCAGCATTCCTGACCCTGTGGCAGGGCAGGAGGATGGACCAAGCTGTCTACCAAAATCTCTTTCAGTCCAATTTTTCTGCAGGTAAGATTTGAATGGGAAGCAAAGAGTTAACTTTGTTAATTATCATTACTTTACATTATGGCGGCAACCTTTTTAGCAGGGCCTGTTGTGACAGGACAAGGGGGAATGGCTTTCAACTAAAGGGGGGTAGATTTAGACTAGCTGTAAGGAAGAAATTTCTTACACTGAATGTGGTGAAGCACTGGCACAGGTTGCCCAGAGAGGTGGTGGATGCCCCATCCCTGGAAACATTCAAGGTCAGGTTGGAGTGGGCTCTGAGCAACCTGACCTAGTTGAAGATGTCCCTGCCCATGGCAGGGGGTTTGGACTAGATGACCTTTAGAGGTCCCTTCCAACCCAAACTGTTCTATGATTCTATGATTTCAACTGGAACTGAATTTAGCTCTTTTTCTACCTCTTCAAGGTAAAAACCTACTACTATGTAGCTATGAGTAATCCAGACTCATTTAAGTCAATACGTCAGGTTGTCAGCTGAGGAACTGGGACACGTCCACTGCAGCCGCCAGTCCAGGGGTGACAGCATGGATGGGGCCCACCTTCTCACCCAAAATCACCACACTTATCGAGAGCCCTATTCCTGTGCTATACGGCGACAAATAGCAGCAATTAGTGAAACTAAGAACATAAAAAGGGTGGCACCCTTTAGGGTCATGGTGAGGATCATGCTTCAGACCACCTCCAACATCCAGGCTTTCATCTGGTCTTTACTGGGCATGGTCAGGGGATTAGGGCTAGGTGGGGGAGAGGCTTGGGATGAGGGGGTTAAAAAAAAAGAAAAAAAATATTTTGAGCCCACTTACAAGCTGAAGAGAGGCAACATTTCATAGCCAGATGACCAAAGCCTTGAGAGCTTCAGCCATCCATTGCAGAGGGCAGGTTCTCAGGGGTGTGTGTGGTCATCTCCGGCCTCCACCAAAAGCTGTAGGCTGATTAGGAAAAATGCTTTCCCTTCAACAGGGACTTTTACTGCAGAGAAATGAAGCACTCCAGGGCTCATCATAAGTCTCAGCTTGAACACTCTGCTCTGGCACTTTCCAGAGCGAGAGGGGAGAGCGTGGTCGGTGCTGAGCACCGGATGCTCAGCCCGAGGGGTGCTTCAGCTCTCCTCCGTGCTGCGAAATGGGATGGAGATGCAGACTATGTGGGAGGCAAATTGTTTTATGGAAAATATTGGGAACCATTGTACTAAGCTGATTAACTCATTTTAACAATTTTATTTAGCTGCAAAAGTTGCCCCCGCATCAAAAGTGCAGCTGCAAGCGTTTGCACAATGAAAACACTCCCACATGCAGGACGGCCAGATAAGCCCCTGCCTGTCGTCGTTACAGCAAGAAATTTTAGTACTTTGGGGAAAACGCATGGTTATTTCTCCCTTTGTTTAAGCTTTAACTCAGAGCATGAAGGATACTGTTATGCTAACTGGTTTTGTACACGTCCCTCGTGTCCTAGACTCAGCCTGGTTTTGGCAATTCTTGGGAGGTAAAACTTTGTCAGAAACGTGAGGAATTGTGGGAGCCTGGGGCTCCCAGTGCCTAATTCCACCTGGAGACAACAGCCGCTCGTTTTACCCTAGGGAAGGAGCCCTTTTCCCCCCTCCACTACCTTACTTCATTAGGTAGTGAAAATTAGGCTTTCTTCATGCTTCCCTTCTTTCTCTGTGTTATTAGTCCCACAATAAGCTGCCTCTTAATCCCAAAATATGGACCTTTAGGAGACTGCTCTGCTAATCCCATGAGGGACGTGGCAACCAACAGGAAAGCCAAGACTGGAATATTATTCAAATGCATTGGACCAAGGACCACGCTCAGCCTTCAGCGTTTCTCTTGGGTCACCAGTCACACACCCCTCCCTGTTAAATTAAAACCACTCTAAAAGCAGTGTGGTTTCAAGCACTAGTAGCAGGGCATTTATATGGGATTTTCAGACTGATGCTTCTCCATGGGCCAGTTTGGGACCCCCTGAGTGTAGGACATTGTCTCAAAATATTCCCTGAAAGCCATCAGGAGGCATTGGTATCCAAGCACAAAAATAACTGCTCTACATCTCTGAAGGTGTTAGCTTTAAACCAGTTTTACCCGCTCTGGTTTTTTCGGAGCTCATGGCTGATACTTTTGCTCCAATTTCCTTTGTTTCCCATTATAGACTTGGAGAACCAGCAGGCCTTCATCAGAAGTAGGAGTTGGGGTGGTGTCCTGGTTCCGGCAGGGATAGAGTTAATTTCCTTCCTGGTAGCTGGTACAGTGCTGTGTTTTGGATTTAGGATGAGAACAAAGTTGATAACACACCGATGTTTTAGTTGTTGCTAGGTAATGCTTACACTCGTCAGGGACTTTTCAGCTTCCCATGCTCTACCGACTGAGAAGGCTGGAGGGGCACAAGAAGCTGGGAGGGGGCACAGCCAAACTGGCCAAAGGGACATTCCATACCATGTGACGTCATGCTCAGTACATAAACT